ATTGTGTTCATCTTTAAGAAAATGGGGAGGTTAATACGGTTTTCCCAAATTCTCTGCCTTTCCTTCATGTTGTTACAGTTTCGAGTCCAAAGCTCATCACCTTCTCAATCTTCTCTCGATTCATCACCACATTTGTGCGGTCCTGAAGAGCGTTCTGCATTGCTTGATTTCAAAAGCACTACTACTAATATGGTGTATGACTATTATTGTACTTCTCATCGTATGGCTATAATACAAACTTGGAATGAGAGTAAAGACTGCTGCTTGTGGGAGGGCATCACATGCGACAAGATGAAAGGTCACGTGATTGGCCTTGATCTCAGCTGGAATTGTCTTGAAGCCGATCTAACTACAAATAGTAGTCTCTTCCGCCTTGAGAAATTGCAGAGTCTCAACCTTTCTCACAATTATTTTCTTTACCGTAACATCTCATTTGGGTTCAACCGTTGGAAGAGTTTGACATATCTTAATCTTTCAGGTACGAGATTTCATTTCTTTTTCTTTTGTTTAAAATCTCCATGCTTCCAAAACTGGTTTCACTTCTTCTAATGTGACAAATCTTTAACCTTGCAGATTCAGTATGGATGGATGGTTCTTTCCGAAATTGGTTTCATGAGATCTTCTTGTTACCGAAATTGGTTTCACTTGATCTCTCTGATAATTATCTGGATATTGACAACATATTGTTTCAAATGCTTGTGCATAACTTAACAGAATTAAGGTTTCTTATCCTTGATTCTGTGAATATGTCTCTGGTTGTGCCTTCTTCCTTGCTAAACTTGACTTCTTCCTTGGAGCATTTGAGCCTTCACTATTGTCATTTGCAAGGAAACTTTCCAAACCAAGTTTTTCAGCTAACGAAATTGGTTTCACTTGATCTCTCCCAGAATTCTGGTTTGCTTCTTGACAACATAAAGTTTCAAATGCTTGTGCATAACTTAACAGAATTAAGGTTTCTTATCCTTGATTTTGTGGATATGTCTCTGGTTGTGCCTTCTTCCTTGCTAAACTTGACTTCTTCCTCGGAGCATTTGAGCTTTAGCGATTGTAATTTGCAAGGAACCTTTCCAAGCCAAGTTTTTCAGCTTCCATCTCTCCAGCTTCTTGATTTAAGCTACAACTCTAATTTAGGAGGCAATTTGCCCGAGTCAAACCAGAGTAATACCCTTGAGTATTTGAATCTTGCAAGCACAAACTTCTCAGGAGAGTTGCCTCATTCAATCGGAAATCTTAAACTCCTGAAGGAATTGTATCTTTGTAGCTGCCAATTTTATGGATCAATTCCTAGATCTCTTGCAAATCTTACAGAGCTAACTCAACTAGATTTTTCTTCCAACCATTTGTGGGGCCAAATACCAGATGTTTTTGGAAAAATACACAAGCTAACTGATTTGAGCTTAGATGCAAACAATTTTGGTGGTGAAATTCCTGCATCAATCTTCAACCTCACCCATCTTACTTTTTTGTCACTATCATCAAATAAGCTATTAGGTCGTGTACCATCTTGGTTGTTTTCTCTGCCTTCTTTATACCATTTAGACCTTTCAAACAATTGCCTTACCGGACCTATTGATCATGTTGAGATGCCCAATCTCATTTTACAAAAAGTCAATTTGTCCAATAATGAGATAAGTGGTTCAATTCCTAGCTCCTTCTTTGATCTTGTAAATCTTACTAGAGTCGACCTTTCTTCAAATAACTTAACTGGCATCATTACACCCGACATGCTTTCGAAGCTTGTAAACCTTGAGGATCTTGATCTTTCCAATAATAGTTTGCTGTCTTTGAGCAATAATGGCACTGCTGTCAACTATTCCTTTTCGAACCTCTGGTCTTTCAAATTCTCTTCTTGCAACATACACAAGTTCCCAAGTTTCTTAAGGAAGGCAGAGAATTTGCAAATATTTGATATTTCCAAGAACAACATTTCTGGTCAAATTCACAAATGGGAAATAGAAGGGATGTCGTCATTGTACTATTTATACCTTTCTTATAACTTCTTGACTGGTATAGATTTATTTGGTTTTGGAAATCTTAAAATTGTTGACCTCAGATCTAACTTACTACAAGGATCACCTCCCATTATCTCAACAACTTGGGATTCTATGCAACAACTCTTCATGTCAGGGAATAATTTGACTAGTGTAATCCCTTTTTCTTATTGCAATTTGACTTCTCTTGAAGTTCTAGATTTAGCTAATAATTGTTTGGGAGGAAAAATTCCAGAATGTCTTGGAAACTTGAGTGATCTCTCTGTCTTGGATTTGCGGATGAATAAGTTTCATGGTATAATACCAAATTCTTTTGTCAATGGGAGTAGATTGATAACACTTAACCTAAATGACAACCAGTTGGAAGGGAGACTGCCATCATCTTTGGGAAATTGTAGTGACTTGGAAGTTCTAGATGTTGGGTACAACTCCTTGAATGATAGCTTTCCATATTGGTTAGGTGTTCTTCCGTGGCTAAAAGTTCTAATCCTTCGATCTAATCGATTTCATGGTGCCATCAGCAATTCTATGCCTGCATTTTACTTCCCTCAGTTAAGAATAATTGATGTCGCACAGAATGATTTTACGGGTCTCCTACCAAGTAACTATTTCAAAATTTTGAAAGGTATGAGAGATGTAGCTCCAGCTGATAAAGCCAA